GGAAACGAAAGAGTCTATGAGTATATCTTATGTTGGTTTGCAAACATCTTACAACATCCAAGTGCTAAAAATGAAACTGCTCTCATCATAATTGGAAAACAAGGAACAGGTAAGAACACTTTCTTTACAGATATTTTGTGCAAACTGTTAGAGGGCTATTCGAACCCTAATATGACAAACTTAGAAAACATCTGCGGTAAGTTTAACTCTTCAATAGAGAATATGAAACTTATAGTATGTAACGAACTTCAAAGTATAGATACAACAAAAGTTTTGAACTCGGATGCTTTGAAGAGTCTTATAACAGACAAAGTTGGAGTTGTTGAAAGAAAGTATAAAGACCAAAGAGTTTGTGAAAATGTTGCAAATTTCATCATGGTTTCAAACAACGCCGTTCCGATGAAGTTAGAAAGTTCTGACAGAAGATATGTAGTTGTCAGAACGTCAGAAGCTCATATGCAAGATACAGAATATTTTGACGACTTAGCAGAAACTTTGACACCTAACTTTTACAACCACTTGTTCTCATATTTCATGACATTAGATATTTCTAAGTTCAATCCAAGACAAATTCCACATACCGAAGAGAGACAAACATTGTTAGAAGCAAACAAGAGTGTATATGAACTGTTTATAGATGAGACTAACTTTGAGTGTTTAGATGAAAGGTCATTGTACGATTCGTATAAACAGTATTGTCAAGAGTATGGTTATATGACAGCGTCTAAACGAACATTCTTGGCAAATGTCAAAAATCTTTTAGACGTACAGAATGGTGTATATACAAAGAAAAATTTTTCTGAGTAAATTTTTAAAAAAAATATTTTTTTTATCCGATAGAAAAGATGACAAAATTCATCTCAGTCAACAAGTACATGTCAGGACTTAAAGAAGAAATAGACCCATTCACATATTTGAATGTTTACTTCTACCATTTTGAAAAGTCTTCATTTGACAAAGTTTGGAACATCGAACCAGTTAAGTTTGCTATTGTGACTAAAAATGGTGCGAAATTTGAAGACTTAGACATAGAAGGTTTGTTAACAGTCAAAGAAAGTTTTGACAGAAGGTTTTCAAACCTTAAAGAAGGCAAAGCATACAAACTTGTTATACCTTATGAACCAAAGAAAGCAGACGACTATGAATATTATGAGTCTAAGATAGTTGAAGTTCAAGGTAAATTGGGTAAAAAGATTTTAGAGTCTAAGCCAGTGTTTGCTCCTAAAGAGGAAGAGAACATTGACATTGACCCAGAAATGTTCTAAAAATAAAATTTTATTTTTACATGTCAAATTTCTTTTTCTCTGGAACTGGTTCAGGTTCTTTCTTCTCTTCTTCTACTTTCTTTTCTTTCTTTTCTCTCTTCTTCTTTTCTTGGTGGAAGTTTATGTCAAACTTCTCAGAACCCATATTTTTGTAAAAGTTCTTTGTCCTTTAATAGCTCTTCTATTCTGTTTTTCTATTTCATTTTCAAAACAGCGCATGTGTCTTCTTTGCATTCTAAGAAGTTTTGTTGGACTTCATCTCTCCAAGAGGCGTCATCTCTGTCAACAAGTCTGTCATTGACAAATTTTAAGACTTCTCTGCTTAAGTTTTATGGTTCTTGTCATATTCCCAGAAACAGAACTTAGAACAAATTCACCTTTCTTGTTTTACACTATGTAAGATTTATGGTCGACAGATGTTTTGCTGTCGAAAAGCTTGTCTCGAATATAGATAGCGAAATCGCTAGACATTTCCTAAAAGATAAAAATTTTAATTTTTCTAAAATATGTTAGAAAAAAAGTTTGCTGACATTGACAAAAAATTTGAGAATGTTTTAAATAAGAACAAGAGGAAGTTGGAAAATGCTCAGATAAAACCCATACATGACAAGTTCCTATTTGCTCAGAATGGTATAACAGGTCTAATTGCACCACCTGGGTCGGGTAAAGACTTTCACTTATCTTAAAATGGCTGCACAACAACAAGAACTAGATGAGAAGAACCCATTCTATGAGTTAGTAGTCATTTGTAGTACTTCGGGTCAATTTGACCAAACCGTCAATTCGTTCAAGATATTATAAAAAAGTCTAAGTTAGTATGTATAAAAGACTCTGAGTTGTTAGATTGGATAAAGAAGTACCAAAGAAGAGTTTTGAAGTACAATGCTATAAATGAGTATATAAACTCGAAGTTTAAAGACCCAAATGAGGAATGCAGAGAATATTAGAGAAGAAACACTTCGAAAAAACAGAAAGAGATTGAGTACCTTTCGAAGAAATTGCAATCTTACGATTGGAAGACTTACCCTCACAGATGTCTTCTTATCTTAGATGACTTTGCTTCTCATCCTTTGTTAAAGAACAGAGAACAAGACATGTGTCGAATTCTTAAGAAGCTCAGACACTTTAACATTTCAGTTGTCATTTGTGTACAGACAGCAAGAGTTTAAGTAAGATGTAAAGAGAATACTTACTGATATCATACTTTTCCCCGGATTGTCCGAAGACGATTTCATGGAACTTATGAAAGAGTCCATGGCAGGTAAGTTTGACAGACATGAACTATGGGAGAAGTACAAAGTCATACAAGACCCTCATACTTCTTTCAGAATCATATCTACGCAAACAAAGTTCAATTGTAAAAGTCAAGCGTAAAAATGTAAGTGTTTGAGTCTTAGTCTGTTGTGGTGCTGGGGCTGTCGGTTCTTCTGGCTTTGGAATGGACTCGGTTGGTGGTACGTCGACATTCGTTTGGTGTCCCTGTCGGATGGAAGGACTTTCCTGTCGGAAGCAGAAGGACTTTTCCTGTCGGAAAGAAAAACTTTTCCTGTCGGAAGGAAGGACTTTTCCTGTCGGAAAGAAAACTTTCCTGTCCGGAAAGAAAAAACTTTTCCTGAAGGAAAGAAAAATTTTTCCTGAAGGAAAGAAAAATTTTTCCTGAAGGTCGGCCAAAAAGTTCTCAATTTTCGAAAATTTTGAATGGTTTACGGACGGACAACAAGAAAAATTTTTCCTGAAGGAAAAAAATTTTTCCTGAAGGAAAGAAAAATTTTTCCTGAAGGAAAGAAAAAACTTTTCCTGTCGGAAGGAAGGACCTTTCCTGTCGGAAGGAAGGACCTTTCCTGTCGGAAGGAAGGACCTTTCCTGTCGGAAAGAAAAACTTTTCCTGTCGGAAGGAAGGACTTTTCCTGTCGGAAGGAAGGACTCGGAATGCCAGAAGGACTCGAATGCCAGAAGGACTCGGACAAGACAATTTACCATCTAGAGCTACCTGAGCCATCTTTGGTGTCAAGCTTGAAAAATAAACGCTTTACATGTATTTTTCAGCAACTTCGTCAAATAATTTTATAGCACTATCTATCTCATCTACTTCAAACGTTTCTTTACCTTTCGTGGGAGCACCATACCTTTTCTCAAAAACTTCAAGCAGTTCTGTTTCAGCAGCTCTCATATCATTCACAAACACAACCTTAACTCTATTGACTGTAGAGTCATATCTTTTAGTTATATTAAATGTTCTTCCTATCTTATAATCTCTTTGTATTGAAGTCCTTCGGTTTTCTGAACGATGTAAAGTAAGCCTTCACAGCAACGTTCCGTATCGAATGAACCATATGTTATGAAATTATATCCAACAACTGGGTCAATCCATAACAAAACTAGTGTGTATAAGACTTTTGTCGATGAGATATGCTGTAGTTCCATGAAATCTTACCGATATCAAAAAGCTCAGGATTTCTTGTCAAAATTTTCTGAGATGAAGCATTTTTTAACCCAGTCCTTTGCTCTCTTTCCAGATGGTGTTAAATGTCTGACAAAGAATATTTTTTGTATTTCTTTGAGTATCTTACGTTTAAATCACCTATTCTAACCACCTTGGTCTCATTGTCTATCTTTTTAACTGTTTCAAACTCAGTGCTTGTCATTTCCTGTTCTTACATACAAAATAAAAAAAAATATTTTAAAAAAACTAGCGTTAATTTTATTTTTTCTATCTTGTATAAAAGATATGATTTCAGGGATTTTTTTCACGATTTTCATGAGTTTTAGGCGACTACGGTTTTTAACGTACTCGCATTTTTTCACGATTTTCATGAGTTTTAGGCGACCCCGAAAAAAACCGGGGTCGCATTTTTTCACGATTTTCGTACGGAATCTCTATCCTCGGTTTTTCGAGGGTAGCATTTTTTCACGATTTTCATGTGTTTTTTTTACGATTTTCGTACGGAATCTCGTCCCGCGGTTTTCCGCGGGTCGCAAACATATGAGGAAATTCATGAAATTTGGTCATTTTTTCATGATTTCAGGGATTTTTTTTACGAAGAGTAAAAGTTCACTTCGTCAAAAAAATACAGTTATATCATGAAATTTGGTCATTTTTTCATGATTTCATAGAGTTTTATGCAAGGCCGAAAAAAGTCGGGGTAGCAAACATATGAGGAAATTCATGAAATTTGGTCATTTACTCAGCAAAAATATATTTTAGGTGAAGAGGTGAGATCTCACCTGTTTTCTCACCTGTTTTCTCACCTCTTTTTCACAAGCGTTTTACATGAATTGTACGATGTATATTTGAAATTCTAAACAGTTTTGTAGCTTCTATTTCTTCTGTCAGTATGTCAAAAGTTTTAACAATGCCGAAGGTTTCTTTATATTTCTTCTTGACATCAGATAGAAGGAAATCGTCAGCTGTTGGATAGTTTTTGTTTAGAAATGTCAACATGTCCATTTTATCTTCTGCTGGTTTCTCTACTTCTTTCTTTAAATCTGCATAGTCGTTTCGCATTCTTTCTATCTCTTTGACGGAGTAGTTATATTTCCTCATTGCTGATTTACATTTTGAACATTGTGGGTTCATTTTTGCATTGTACATTGAAATAAAACCTGCAAGTATGACTAAGGCGTCAATGGTTTTCTTTAACTCAAAAGTTGCTGGTTTTATCTGTTCGTTCCATACCTTACCTCTTTTATCTTTATCTCTTATCTGCCATACACATTTTGCAACTAACGAAACAAAGTTGTCGTAGGTCTTAAATTCTTCAGATTTGTATATGTCAGAGATGTTCTTATATACCATATCGCAGTCTTTGTCCATGACTTTGTGGTTGCAATGAAATCCAAGAAACTCATAGTTTACCTTACGTATGAACTTCTTGGTTTCTACTGAGTCAGTTGCTTTGACTTCTATTTCATCGAATTCTGGAATAGTAAGCTTTTGTTGTTGTATTTCAGGAAGTTTAGGTAGATGGTCAATAATATCCTGCATTTCATAAAGATATTCTTCATTTGTTTCATCTTTTGCACTACAGTCTAAAACTCCTTGGAGAAGTTCTTGCTTTATCTTCTGGATTTCTGTTTCGAAAGTATATGAAGAAGGAATGAAGCTTTTCATCTCTACTAACATTGAAGTTGGGTTCATGACTAACGAGTTTGGTGCTGTTGTTGCTAACATGTTCTTACAATAAAAATAAAAAAATATTTTTTTAAAAAAACTAACTTTTTATTTTATTTCGGGAAAATTCATGAAAATTCAACGGGTGAGAAAAGAGGTGAGATCTCACCACTTCACCTAAAATATATTTTTGCCGAAAAAAATGAGTTTTGTGTGTTTTCTACGGTGGAGCCAAAAGTGGCTCGACCTCAAAACAAGCATTTCGTGAAGAATATACCAACCGCCGGAATTCCGGCGGTTGCTTTTTATACAAAACATTGACGATGAAAGTCTTGACAAACAGGCATTTTGTGAAGAATATACCACCCCGCGGAATTCCGGCGGTTGCTTTTTTATACAAAACATTTACGAAGAAGTCTCAACAAAACAAGCATTTCGTGAAGAATATACCACCTGCCGGAATTCCGGCGGTTGCTTTTTATACAAAACATTGACGATGAAGTCTCAACAAAACAAGCATTTTGTGAAGAATATACCACCCCGCGGAATTCCGCGGGGTGCTTTTTATACAAAACATTGACGATGAAGAAGTCATGACAAAACATGTACGATGAAGAAGTCATGACAAAACATTGACGATGAAAGTCTTGACAAACAGGCATTTTGTGAAGAATATACCACCTGCCGGAATTCCGGCGGGTGCTTTTTATACAAAACATTGACGATGAAAGTCTTGACAAACAGGCATTTTGTGAAGAATATACCAACCGCCGGAATTCCGGCGGGTGCTTTTTATACAAAACATTGACGATGAAGTCTCAACAAAACAAGCATTTCGTGAAGAATATACCAACCCGCGGAATTCCGCGGGTTGCTTTTTATACAAAACATTGACGATGAAGTCTCAACAAAACAAGCATTTCGTGAAGAATATACCAACCGCCGGAATTCCGGCGGTTGCTTTTTATACAAAACATTGACGATGAAGTTTATTTCCTGTGTTGTTGTCTAAATGTCATGTTGTCTCATTTTTTCAGAGAAGTTCGTTTAACCGAGGGACCGAGGGACCGAGGGACCTGGTGAGATCTAAAATATATTTTTGCCGAATTCAATAAAAATAAAATGGTTCATTTACTCACAATATTTTTGTACAAAAGGACCCCAAGCTTTTAACCTCTCTTCTGTAGCTTCTAATGAAACTTTAGTGAGTTCATATTCTCTAAATTCTCTCTTTAAATCTTCTTGTTCCCATTGGTCTAGTTCGTATGGAGAGTCTCTATAACCAGAACATATCTCACGTTCATGTTCTATTTGTTTTTCATGCATTTTTCTAACTTCTTCTTCGAACAAAGGTTTTGCATTCTCTACTGTATCTTCAAGTTCTTCTTCATCTAATTTCTCATGAACTTTCTTGTCTATGGAGTCCATAATTTTTCCAACTGCTATGCAATATTTTGGAGAAGCCCACATTGCTATATAGTTTACAAGTCTTGGGTCTACATACGTTCCTCTAACCTGTTTGATTTCATCGGGAATTCCTGCATGAAGTTTGTATAAAAAGCAACCGCCGGAATTCCGGCGGTTGGTATATTCTTCACAAAATGCCTTAAAATACTCTTCCCAGGACTTATTTTCCAACAACTTTCTAAAGTCCTTCCTAAACTGCTGACATATCTTTGTTACATTTATATAACCATCCTTGTCTCTACGTAAGACTTCAATACCGTTATAGGTGCCTTTTGTGAATGTTTCGCCATTAGATTTGTTCGTGAACGTTTTTGCTTCGACTGTCATACTGTTCTTACAATAAAAATAAAAAATATTTTTTGGTGGTACGCCGGACATTCGTTTGTGGCTTAACCGTCGGACATTCGTTTGTGGCTTAACCGTCGGACCACAACGATAAAAATCTCATTTTAACCCACTTTTTTTCTATCTTAAGGAAATTCATGAAAATTCAAGAGGGTGAAAAAACAGGTGAGAAAACAGGTGAGATCTCACCTCTTCACCTAAAATATATTTTTCAATACTTTTTCAGCACTTTTCCGTAGTTGTATATGAAAGACAATTCGAGATAAAAGTCATAGTACAATGGAAGAATATGCTGCACACCGTTTGTTGTGAACCAAACTTGAAAGTCAGAGAAACTGTTACTAGGTGGTTCGTAGAATTTAGAAGCAAAGTCATAAAAGTCCTTACCGATACAAAGAAAACTGTTGTTGCTTGAACTGAAACTTGCATGACATATAACATTTTGAGGGTCAAACACGTTTTTATAAACTGTCAAATCTGCTGGTGGAAGTATAAATTTAAAGGACCATCTGGTAATGGTTCGTTCTGGTTTAGTAACCGAAGAAATTGTGCCCAAGAACGTTTGTCCACCCCCAATATAAAAACTCTGTATCTCTTGGAGGGTTATTTCAATCTTTGAAATGAAACTGTGGAGTTCATCTTGTCGTATTCTAGCTTTAGATAGTATGTTCCATTTAGTAAAGAGTGGTATTTTTCTTGAAATTCCCAGTAGTATTTGTTTATTTGAGTTTGAAAGTCATTTAGAGTTTTTTCAAGACTTTCGTCTGAACGAATTGTAAAGATTTTCATTTCGTCAAATTTTTCTATTAGACCATCAGAACCTTTATACTGACCGTGAAAATATACTGCGAACATAAAAGCGTTAGTTCTATTTGAAAACAAAACTCTTCTAAATCCTATTGCCTTTGCATCTGAAGGACTTTGAAGCCAACGAATTGGATAGTCAAACCTGTAAGATCGGGATGAAATTTCTTCATCTGAAATATTTCTACCAGCGTTTGTAAAGATATAGTCTAACGGTTTTGTATCTGCTACTTTTGTTCTTTGTTTTTCAACCTGAAGCATTTTATATATGTAAAAATATACTGTTTTAAAAACGTTTTAAAATGGTATGCAATGTTTTTATTTCATGCAATGTTTAACTATTTCACCATCTTCTTTAACACCCCAGTACTTACGCTTGGAGAGAACATGAACTTCGGAAAATACCTTATCTAGCTTAAAACAGCCCATTTTCTCACCGACTAAACCCATTTCAATGAGTTTGTTGTATCCTTCTTCGTTCGTCATGAGCGCGTCAATGTTCTCATAGTAAACCTTCACTTTGGATTTGACTTCCGAGAAGAATTTGTTGTAGTTGTCAAGGACTGCCTTTGCGAACTGAGGATAAGACCAATGTTCGACAATAGGTTTTACTGTGGTTACTAAGCCATTTTGACCTTCGGTAAATTCGTACTTCAAAACAAAAGTGGAGAACCTTTCAACAAAGTTGTCGACCTTCTCATAGTGTTTACTCTTCATCTTTTGAGGTTTTTTAATGGAATACCCCCATGTCGAATTCATGAGTAATTTGAGTGTCATTGCAAGTTTGGGGTTTGAAGCTTTCCTAATATCATACATTTGTTGTATGACTTTTCCAACTGTATAGTTCCTTCCCGGGAACTCACCATCTTCGTTTGGAATTCCAGTCGGAATATATTGGACGAACCTCATGTACGCAGCGTTAAGGTCGACATAGTATATTTTTTCGTATGAGTCGAACTTATCGCAACCAATCGGACCAGTTCGTGGAAATTCAAGTGAGTCTCTTATCTTTTGAGAAACTTCTCCTGTTATCTCATAAACATCGTCAAAGCAACCTGTTTCATATAAAATTTTCTGACCTAACTCAGATGCTCTCCAATACAATTTGACGTCGATTGGATGCCTCAATGGAAGTTTGTTTATAGCATCTTGAAGTTCTTGCAACCTCATTGGAAGTTCTTCTGGTTCAGGTTGGTATCCGAACAATCCAACTCCTTTTGGAGCTGTGTACTTCTTCTGTGCTAGAACTTTGTCTGGAACAACTTTTGGTCTTGCTAACAATAAAAAGTTTGTTTCGTCTTTTGGTACAAAAGTTTCTGTCAGCTTGTCATCTGGAATCGGTTCCAACAAACCTTTCTCGAAAAGAATGTTAACAGCTCTGACAATGTTGCATTTACCTTTTCCGAACAATGGGTTTGTAAGACTTTCGTTCAACATGAAGTGGTTGTGGAGAAGTACAATCTTCAACCATGGTAATTTGAAGTCAACTACATAGTCATCGTGTGAAGAACCTTTCTCAGTCGGAATGTTGACTCGGATATTCACATTTGCCAACGGTGCAACTTTAGCCAATTGACCTCTAAGAATGTATCTTGTCTTCACACATGACTCAAGATACTTCATCTTCTCTTCTGTAACAAGACCAGAGTTCCTGAGACATGTAAGAATACAAGGTTCATTGACAATTGTTTCAATTGAATTGTAAATTCCATACCTTGTCAAGTCAATGTCAGACTTGTTTATGAACGGGAAATACCCAGCATGTTGTCTGACTGCTTGAGGGTTGGGTTGGTACCATTCGAACTTCACGCTTGCAATTCCTTCAATTGCATTCAAAATGTCTGAGTCGGAGTCAAACATTTGTTCTCTCTTTGTAGTCTTGAAAGCGTCAAGAAGTTGTGCGGCTGTTGCGACATTGCCATGCGCATAGTATATATGACCGTCCAAATCTGTTACGGTTAGTCTGAGATTGTGTCCTTTCTTATTTCCGTCTTGTATGGCAGCAAGTACTCCCATGAAGCCTTCTTTGTTCTTTCCATCGTCAAAGTTTACTGTAAAGGTTCGACCAGATGGAATTTTACTTCTAACCTCACGATACTTTTCATATGCATATCTTGTTCTTTCCATGGGAGCATGTGCGTCTTCACCTTTTCCTTTTTTCCTTCTCAAAGGATGCAATTGTTCGTCATGTTTCCAGTAGAATCTGGCAAAGCCGTCGTGTCCTTCAACTTGAGGCTCAGTAACATTGAAAGGCATATCCATAAGACGCTCTTCTTCTAACCTCTCTAGTCTGTTTGGATAATTTGTGCGTGCTGTTTCTAGGTCCATTTCATAGCGAAGACCAGACAGTTTGTCATAGACTTTTATGGGTCTTCCCTTCCTATATTTAAACTTCTTTGAAACTCTCCAACCATATCTTTCTAACTCTGCTTTTACTCTAGCAG